ATAAAGTGGAGTTGAACAAACAGTTCCATTTAAACGGGTCTCAGCTAGTGTATTTTCGAGTTTTGGGGGCATAAATGTTGTTTTATGAAACCGATTTTTTCATTTAGCCGAAGTCTCAAATAACAGCAAAATAAACAACTAAAATAAAACTGGGACCAGAGTTGCCGTGCCTATTAAGCAGAGTTTTCAGTTAAACGGATTGTGGCTGGTCGGTTTAAAAACTTCTAATAACTTTAAGAGTCGACTTCAACTTAAGTGTCACTACTGATTGCTTCTTTTGACCACCACTGTAACCAGTTCGTCAAAACTAGTGCAATTAATAAATAGCAATGCTAAAATCTATTCGCTTTGTAAAAAAACTTCTTACTAATCATTGATATTTTTCCTCATCTCATTGAACAATAGAACCACTACTTACTGCTGCTCGCTACTTTGAAAATTATTCAATTTATTCTGCTAATCATTATTACGTGTAGTGAAAGTGACACTGGTTTATTGAAGTTGAATGAGCTTAAAAACAAAAACAAATATATCCCTGCAGGAATGCATTGTATGCTTGCAAGTGGCGTTTGAATCGTTTACTTAAATTTTCTGTTTATCTATTTTTCTTTCCACCGCCATCGGCGCCATCACCTCTGACTTCATTGAATTCGTTGTGCAGGCGTAATTTCTCTACGTATAAATTACACTGACTTACCGATGCAACAGATAAATTTATAAATCCATTGTTTTGAAAGCTCCCACATACATATGTACATATGTACATACATATGTAGATGCAAAGCAAAACCAAAACGAAAAACTGCATAGAAAAAATAAACGGCGTTGGTAGCTGCAATGGACCCAACATAAGGTACCTGAGTACTAATAAGGACGTACATATGTATATACTTGCATTGCAACTGCGTTGTTTATACCTCGTTGTCTTTTCACTGATTCGGCACTACGACTACGAGTTTGTAATTTTTTTTTTCTTAGTACACATTACGTCCGATTTGTTTGGCTATCGGCCCCCGTTGAGTCAAAGCAACATTGGCACTGTTTTCGCTTTGCATCTAAGTGGCTGTTAAGCGAGTGTTTACTCGATTTGAAGTTCGACAACAATTGTTGCAACAATGCCAATGAATGGATGCTATAAATAACTATTCACTGTTAAAATACATATCTGCTAGGCGTTTGACTGAGCTTCTGAATTCCCCATTTAAGTCGAACGCTGATATTCCCAGGTCGATAAAAAACGTCAAGCAATTAAAGATAATGAAGTATAGAGCATTCCATTGCTTAGATTCAAACTTCTACTACCTTTTCAAAAACTATTCTCTCGGACGTTGCAAGGCTCAAACATTTAGCTGTTATGTCCATTTTACGATAGGGTGGATAGGAGTAATCAGTTTTTGGATTTCAAAATTCTAAAAGCGCAGAAAAGTTGCTACATTGAATCGTGTTAAACCGTTTTCCAATCGGATAAAATTTACTGAGTTGATGCCATAAAAATTCACTCCATTCTTAGGCCATTTACGAAATTGGGCATTTTAGAGCGTGTCATATTCCTGATTCTCGGCGGAGATGCCATAAAAGTAGATTTCCCGAATTGATATGCCTGGAATTAGGTAAATATATGATGTAAGTATTAACTACCTCATTTTACCAGATTTCAAAAATGTACCAAATCTGAAAGTTATGTACCAGTGTACCCAACTGGAAAAATGTACTAAAAATGGTATATATTTTGGCAAAAATGGCAAACGTGGACTGGCCTGCTGAAAATTATGCAAAGATTGGTCAAAGATTCAAAAAAGGAGTTGACGCTGGTCTCTTTATGCAGAGGACCTACAAATAAGATAAAATTTGAAAAAAAATATCAACGAAATTTCGTAAAAATTTCGAGTGGTTTAATTCGATTTTCTAGAAACACTTTGAGTATGCAGTTTTGTAGCCCATTAATTTATAATATAATAAACTGCACGTTTTAGCAAATAAGATGTCGTAACTCTCTCCTTGGATATAAATATTTTAATATTTCATACATGCAAATTTTGTATAATTTCATTAAATTCCCTTTGCAAACAGATGGCGATCCTGTTCAAAATATTTGCAAGCTATGACTTTTAACCTCCTTCGTCTGACTCCCATTTATGTATATGCTGATACAAATTTCAGTCACCTAATTCCCTAAATTAAAATGGAATTTGATTTTTTTTAACAGCTGGCAACCCTCCCATATGTAGTTAAGAAATCAATTCTTTCAACACCCATTTCAATTGATACCCTTCTTTTAATAACTAATTTACTACTGCTTCGCAAAGGGGAAAAAAGTGGCAAAATACCAGTATTTTTGATTTATGAAATAAAAAAACACTTGATTTTTAGAGTTGTTCCTTTAAACATTAGTAATATTTTTACTTTCAACAAAATAAATTTGCATCTAAAATATAGCGAGTCTAATCTACAGATTTAAAATTGTTTTAATAAATTAATTTTTTGCAGCTATCTTAAGCAATTTTAAACGGAAAAATTTAATATTTAACTTAATATCTCATAAGTCGTTTTTTTTTGGCAATTTCTTCCGTGCAAAGCCTAAAACTGATTTGGCTCTGTCTAAAATATTTGGTTTAAAATGCGTCAAGGGCCTTTTTTCTATGTATTATTAATTTCGTACAAAATTTGGAACCGGAGCCTCGATAATGGATAAATTACCTTTCCAAATATTTTGGAATTTTGCCCGCTCGCACAGCACTGTGCTGCGGTTCGAAAAATGAAAGCTTCAAGTTCTGAACACATTGAAAACAACGAGCTACAGACCACAGCTTCCAATTTGTCATCTTCATTATCTAAACGCTTTGTCGTTGGCGACATGATTTCTTTGAACGCGGCAGCGACATCATGAATTTGTATGAGTTTGACATAAAAGAAGAGGAAGAACCTTATCTGTCGCCAGAAAAATAGAAATAGATCTAATCTGGCCACAACCACAGCCGCCGCGTAGCTCGATCGTCGCCAAAATAATTATCTACATAAGAGCACGTGTTAAAATAATTTGACAGCTGTGGTTTGTAGCTCGTCGTTTTCATTGTGTTCGGGCTATCATACTCACCTTCCTAATCTAACTTATGCTGGATTTCCACTAGGCATTAAATGGCAAAAATGACAAATTACAAAGTTGGGCATTAAAAAATTATCATGTCATTATGTGAAAAAAATAGTCATTAAGTCCATTTCCACATGGCATAATTTTTTGTCATTTCAATGCCTAGTGGAAAATCGGCATTAACCTATGTGAAGACTCTCACTTCGATCATCCATCTTTAAGTATTGATAGTGAATTGATAAATATCTCCTATTCATCAGATTAACATTACATTATCTATTTATTAAGCACCGTCCCTCTTCGCAGATGGTTACAACAGTTAGGGCTTTTATGATTTAATATACACTTCCACAGATGCGTACGTATGTATATTAGGGTGATTTTTTCACTCCCACCTCGAAATTTTGTGGGAAACACCTAAAAAAAAACAGATTCCCTGAAAATTTGAGCCCTTAATATTAATGCTCGACCAAGGCGTGCAAATATTTCCCGTTTAAAAAAAAGGAAATTCTTTTTGTTTTCTTCAAAATTCTACAGCTCAAAGGCATTTTCTCGTTTTTTGTCCCTATTTCGTAAATAACAAGCTAATAGAAGCAATTTAAATTACAAACTTGTAGGAAATTTAATTTGCTACAAAAAAGTTACAAAAGCACCAAAACGGTAGCATCGGTATTTCTTGAGACATTTTCAGATAATTTTTTTTAGGTACTTTCACAAAATTTCGAGGTGGGAATGAATCAAAAATAGTCGCGAAAAAAGCACCCTAATCTACACAGTATATATCGATGGCTAAGTGGAAGATCGACCTATCCCGGCAGCCAGTACCAGAAAACGCCGTATCTCAGAAAATTTGATTGAAAAACGCCTTATCTCACTCAGCCATCGATATGTAGATACATTTGTTTGAACATAATCATCGGAAAATTTCACCACTGTTGAGTGTACATGCACTAACAGACATGTTTGTACTTGTGTTTTTAAATCTTCAAGCAATGGCTTCGCGTGTCGACAAACATTTTGGCAAAAGCACGAACGTCACCAAAGACAAGTGGAGAAATGAATGTTTTCTTAAAAATGTAAGCACACGAGCAGTTAAATATATAAATTTAATTCATGCAATCAATCCGCAGAAGAAAGTGGGTGGAAAAGTTGGCACATGAAAGTGTTGCCTAGAGATAAAGATACACAAAAACGCAAGCACAACGCTTAAGGCAAACTCCAATGGCTATTAGCAGTTGCAATAACAACAAAAACTGCATATCTGATAAATAATTAGATGATCATTTTCAATTGCCAGCAACAAGCAACCAAACAGCCAGCAATAGCCAGCAATTGCACCAAATCAGCAGCGATGCTTGCAATTTTTCACTCAAAACTGACGAGCCGCAATGGAAAAGTAAGCGTTAGCAGCTCGCATCCAACACGCTCTAAATATTTAGCTGGCGCATGAGAAGAAAAAACTAAGCAAAGCGTGGTAAAACGGCTTCACCGCAGATCAGTTGCAAAGTAGAAATAAATACTAAATGATTTTTTCGGCTCTGGCAGACTTGGCAAGTGGGTCCAGCGATAGCAGCAGCAAGGCAACCGATCGCGCGCTGCACTAATTGTGGCAAGGCAAAGTGTATAAATTTGATTGCCGCACAAGCGGCGCAGATCAGTTGCATTTCGCTGAAAGTTAGAAGAGGCTGTTAATCAATCGAATATTTCGTGCTACTTTTTAGAAATAAGAAGTTTCAAAAAAAAACAAAAAAACAAAAAACACCCGCTAGACATTGAACTTCAAGCACCGCCGTAAGGATATGCGGTAGGGGGTATCACTCGAGCACTCCTGCCTAATTTTGGATTAATACGCTGTGCTAACGCAGAATATCCTGCCGTCTGTGCCGCCTGCTAGCCGCATAAAGCTATCGTCATGGATGCCAGTTTATTAAGGCTCTTGGCCGCGCTCATATTGATCTCGCTGTATCGGCAAGCGGCGTTGCTTGAGGTGTCCACTCACACTCACACCCGCAATGAACAGCGGAGTGATGGCGGCCGTAGCACAATGCTGGAGAATGGTCTTACACGTACGCTCAAACACATCTACGGTATCTGCGGTGATCGTGATGATCTTTTTTGGTGTTTCAAGGTGCAAGCGACGCGCCTGCTGGGACGCGCGCTAAAAGTACAGAACATCAATATCGTCGAAGGTGTGACGATTGTTAAGAAAGGGGACAATGAAACGCGTACGGGGCGCGCCAGCGCGAACGCCGAACTAAACCTGAGCAATCGTGATTTGGAAAATCTATCGATGAAGAGCCTGGATGCACTGCTAATGGAACGTTTTTTGCGTTTCATTGATAGTCGACAACTGCAGGTGAACTTGCCGCGACTACTCAACTTTAGTCAGCGCAACGGGCAGGATTTATTCAGCGCCATAAGCGCTTACTTCCAACAATTTACGCTCGGCGATGACGAAGTGGATGCGCAAAATTCGATGGTAGAAGGACGCAAGAAAAAGGGTGATGATAAGAAGTATTTGGGGCCCTTCATAGCGGCCGTTATGCTAAAGACGGCCATACTCAAAATGGCCTATCACTCGATCGCTATTGTTGCTGGCAAAGCGCTGATTGTGGGCAAGATTGCGCTCATTATAAGCGCCATAATTGGCTTGAAGAAGCTGGTATCATCGGAGGGCGGTGAAAAGACCACTTACGAAATTGTCAAACACCCGCAAGTGCAGCACAGTCAGACCTATTCATCGAGTCACGCGGGCGAATACGAGGCCGGCCATGAAGGCGGCTCCTACCATCGGAGCATAGACGACGAGATGATGATGCAGGATAAAGCGTATAATGCTTGGGTGCCCTCGCGTGTGCAAACATAAGAGTGAGCGGAAGGTTGAGGTTGAGGTTATGAATTGGGGAGCTAGATCGCGTGTGAATGTGAAAGCGCATTGATGTGTTGTAGCGGCGAGAAAGTCATTACCGTCACAGCAGAACGATTTTGAGATCAAACCAAAGAAGATCACCAAAAAAGATTAGAAAAATTGTTCCAATAATTGTAAAAAAAAGTGCTGCGTAGTAATTATAGATAAATGCGGTTGACGGCACTCTATCGTTATTTGTTATTGTAAATTAATCCCGTACAGCAAAGAAGACTAAAGCTAAAATTTTATTTATGTATGTTCAAATGTCATGTACATTTTAAATTACTAATGCATAATATATTTATATTATTGTTATGTGTATTTACTTTTACATAGATATGTAAGGCCTAGTTTGTAAATTCATCGGCGTAATAAACCAACATTTACAACCGTGTACTTACATTTGTTTTATTTTCGCTGCTTAACCCTTTCACTTTGATAAAACATACTTAACCACCACATACTTAACGTCAATTAACTCTAAAGAAAACCAGCCTGCACTTGTCTTCGTTTGTCATCGACGCCAATTATTTCTTTAGTTGTTTCGCTAATGTCACCAACGTTGTAGTTGCCATGGTTTTGATGAGTTGCCTGTGATGGTGTGTGGTAGTATTTTTTGTTATGCTTTGACTCTACGCTAACTATTTCAGGAAAAATGTGTGGCATGCTACGATGCCATCCCGATTCGTAACTATAACCATCGTGTCCGTGTTCATGTCCGCCACCTCCACCTCCGGCATGATCGTGGCTCTTTACAACGATGTGCTCTGTACTACCACTGCTTCCAATCGATCCCCTTTTGAGACTGCCCTGAAACGAATAGATTTCCATGTCGCTTATGCAAATGATTATTTAATAAAGGGATATACGTATGTAATGAATACAGGTAAATATAAATAGTTTATGGTGCTTTAATTAAACTTAGTCAAAAATGTTTATAAATAAAAGTATGTATGTACATATTTTGCTTGGCGTCGTTAACAAATATATTTTAATACTATAAACCTCGCACAAAATTACCCAGCCGCACCGACAAGATTCGGGCAGAGACCCAGTGCTGGCAGGGCACAGCGGCCTATACTGATCCTTTTGCTTAACGGACCACGCCAAATTTTTTCAGATGGAAATTCAGGCACTTTCCCCTTTCTCGGTTAGGCCGCAACTTGTGGATGACTATGGGAGAGAGTTGGCCTCAAGTTCTGATAAAAACAAAATTACCTTAACCCCAATAACCCTGAAGTTTGTTTGTAAATATATTAGAATAAATGAGAAATAAATGAAAAAGAGACCTCGAAAGGTGTCCTAGGGTACCTACAGCTTTTTTTTTGAATTAAATGCTAAGGGTCTATATCTTCTGCGATGGCACGATACTCCACCATTGTCTCCCTCGCGATCTCTACGGAGGACATTGTAGCCGTTTGAACTAAACAGAGTCGAGTAACTGTGCAACTACGTTTTCTGAACCGCATCTTTACGTATCACATGCCGACCCATACAGACGATTATCTCTCCGATCTTGCTCTGGAGTCCGTTGCAGAATGCAGCCACGTTCCGGTATATCTTGTTCTGACACACATGTGACTGTGTGATTAACAAAGATCTGCTGGTTAACCTTCGTATGAGATTTGTGGCCCAATCCCTGTGTGACCTTAGGCCTGAGCAGTTTCTTAGATGTTTTCATCGTTACAGGTATGAAGTCGGGTTAGGTCGCCGAAACAACAGCCTTTGACTCATTCCGATACCTAGAACCCGGCTGTCGTTGGAATGCAATGCCACCGTAACCATCATCCCTTGCATATACTTCACCACTGCTAATCTATTTTTCTGGTGGTTCGGTGAATACCCTAGCTACCGGCTAATCAAATTCATTATATTTCTTCGAACAAAGCTCTTCTAGGTTGTCAAAGATATTTCTCGGGGATAGATTACTACATATACATAAAAAGAAAATGTGTAAAATATATTGAAAAACTATATATAATATTATAAACGACGAGAAATGGCGGAAAAATGATACCAGCATTGCCATATGGCACCGAGTGCAAAAAACAACAAAAAAACTATCTCGAACCAAATTTTTCGCATAACTTTTTTTCATGGGTTCCAATTTAAAGTCTTTCCCAAATGATGCATTTCACGAGTGGTGGAATTGTAGAGGACGATTACCACTCAGATGTGAAATACCTACGACCCTCTTAAAATCAGGGTCTGGTAGAAATTGACAAGGAAAATACAAACAAATCACGGCTTTATCTAGAGGACAGTGATGTAGATGTGCTTTCTGAAATGAACTGCATCACTTTCAATAGGTTCTGCCACTGCTGCAAAGGCCCAGGTTCAAAGAAGATAGTTGGAAACTTGTGAGTACTCGGCGCTGGCGTGAGTGAGCCTAATACACTAGTATTTCAGAGCATATCTCAGTAAAATATATTGAAATTCATCAATACCGCCAAGTGGTTATAGTTGATGTACTCAAAATCGCTAAACTTTTATAATTGCTTCTCATCAGATTTCAGTATACGGCCCTATAAATTTACCAGTTTACGTACTAAATACTTCGAAGGCTTTAACAGGTTGTGGAAACTTTCCATACAGCACTTGGGATGCTTTGTATTCTCTGTTTTTGTGCTTTTAACTATCGGTCTTCCCTAAATATCCTTGCAGCTGTAAGAGAAATGGGCCACGCCACACGGAAAAGAAGGACGAGGTGATCAAAGACCCCTTTTATGAACACTTGGAGTTCAAATACGAGCGATACCCCGTCACTACACTACGTATACTGTTCAGCATATTAGAATTCTTCTAGCTACTTATATGGCTGTCTCCAGATCGAAAGAAGAGAATCCAAATCGATCAGTGGGACCGCAACTCCTGTTTACTACGTACCGCCTTCAACGAAGAATTTGTATTTAAAAAAGTTTTAAAGAGCAACTGCTACGTCAGCATAGTATTAAGGTGCCACCTCAAGGACCACGCTGCGATTGGGTTGTGTTGGACAGATATCGGGAACTGAAGAGGAAAGAAAAACGTATTTTCCGTAATAAAAACAGAGAGGCCGAAATACATGAGTGCGAGGAGCTTGAAATGCTGAAGGTTGGGAAGAACGCAGGAAAATTACATATAAAGGTTACGCGACTTTAGGAAGGTTTGACGACCAGGGCGAAGACTGATAACTGGAATTTAAGTGTTACCAAAATAATAACAACAAAATTGCCCTTTACAAAATATGTTGGCCTTACTAATGCTGTTTTCAACCTAGTGAAACCGCGGCTATCCAAGTATTTTTCATATGGAAATCCGTTCAGTCGTTTTCGCGTGATTGAGCCACAAACATTCAAACGCACAAACATACCAACTCTCAGTATTATAATATAAAAAGGACTGTTCATTTTCTGGGTTGAATTTTCAAAAATTACGCGCAATTTACAAAAAATGTGCGTTGAGAAAGAAACCAAAAATTCATATCGTCGATCCTTTTGCAAAGCCGCCCATCTACCAATCGCAAAACCACGTATCTTACGGCACTAAAATTTAATCGAAAAAATTGTTTTTCTTTGAATTCATTAATTTAAAAGGTAGTATTTTTTCTAGCTATTATTTTACAAATGTGATATTTTAATAATGCTTTTACGATTTTGATGCATAAATCTCGATGCTTGGAGTTCAGGGTTACCAAAACTCATTTTTTTGTCACAATCGCGATTTAGGCGGTTTTGCATTTGGTCGATGGGTGGTTTGGCAGAGGCATCGGCGATATATCTACGTTTATTGGAATTTA